CAACTTAAATATAAATTATGATAAATCCAAAATAATGTTTTGGGGAAGCAGTTTGATCAACTACCCATGGAACATTGGGGGGAATCAAACTCAAAGCTGTTAAAACCTATAGGTACTTGGGTGTGATGTTTACAGTTTTTCCATCATGGAAACACCACATTCAGTCAGTTAAAACTAAGGCAGCCCAATCGGCAGTGGCTATAAAGAAATTTTATGAGACCACAGCAGGGCAGTCAGACCAAGCTCCCATATTAGCATATAAAGCCAAAGTTGCATCTCAGATCCTGTATGGAGCTGAAGTATGGGGCTATGCCACCAGTAATGATGTAGACATACCTCAAAATAAGTTTCTCAAGGCTCTTTTTGGGTCTTCCTCCTTCAACTCCCACATCCTTCTTGAGATTAGAGATGGGATTAGATTCCATTTTAACTAATATTATTATTAGAATGGCAGGATTCTGGTTTAAAATTCTGCCTCTTCTACCATCTCACTTGCTCAAATTGTGCTATATAGAAGACATCAATAATCCCCTTTCTCTTCAATCTCCCTGGCTAGCTTTTCTTTCCTGCACTTTTGCATTTTCCGGGATGGGACATTATGTCAAAGACAATGAAAGACTCCAGCACAGAAAAGGTCTGGATTTTCCAGAGGTTCCGAGATATTGCCAGGCAGAATGTTTCTGCAGTAGCCAGGGCTACTTGCATCACCCCTCTATATATTCTTTGGAAATTAGATTATGGGGAGAGAAAGGTATTTACAGCTGGATCTCAACAATAAGTGGCAAACCTCTTCGACTAGACTCAGGACTGAACAGATGCTCACAGCTGTTTTGGCTGGATGTAGACTTTCCATTCCAAGGGCTAAAAGATGTTGCTCAGCCTGTCTAGGAGTTTTGGAAGACACTATTCATTATATCTTAGAATGTCCTCTATATAACAAACACAAGGAAAAAGTATTTATCACCTTATTTGCAGAAATTGATATTCTTCTCAAACAGAGAAATTAATGTGGCTCCTCCAGCAAACAGATCCATATTTAGTAAACCATCTTGCAAGTTTTGCTTACAAGGCTGAAGCAATCAGAGCTAAACATCCTTTACTGTTGATATGACCGATAAAGTTTATCACTATATTTGTTTTTTTACTATGTTAATTGTGGACCTATGCACAACATTTTTATAGATTCATGATCTGATTTATCACCATATTTGTACTTGATTATGTTAATTCTAGGAGTCAGGATAATGCGTTTATAATGGTTGACCCTATTCTATTATTATATTTGCATTAAATTTGCATTTATTTATTTTTTTTAATTTTATATTATGGTTGCATGTCTGTTGTGTTGGTTTTCAGGACCATGGCTTTCAGCCAGAATCCTTAATAAACTGAACTGAATTGACTTGATTGCTCAAGGGAAATTTTACTCCAGGCCAACTAGGGTTCTCTCTCAAGTCCATCAAAACCAATCCTTCTTTGGCCCATGATGGGTGCTAGTAAAGTTTCATCTCCCCTGCTGTAGGCATAGAGTATGTCTCTTAGTTCAGAGTCGCTTATTACCCTGTTCTTTCATTTCTGCCTTTCATTTCTCACCTTTGATCTATCATATAAGATGTACCAGCTGCTTCAGTCCTTTCTCAGATATTGTGCTTACGGCTGAAGGAAAAATATATTATTTTCAAGAAATACTGATCAGAAGTGAGAGATTAAATTTTTAAGTATATATGCAATTGGCCTGAAAATGGAAAAATATGTATTGTATTTTGGAAGAGAAAAAAGAGTGACATGCCCTTTAAAGACATATCATCTCATGCAAAGGTTAAACACAAGGAAGCCTTGGGGAGTCTTTATCACTGGACAAATCACTTGTTTGACCTTAATAGTTTACTACTAAAAGACAGCAGCAAAAATATCCTCTAAAGACCTGCCCATCCGTATCATTTAATGAGTATACTCTGAAGAAACCCCCCTGTTTCTTATCTGGCTTCTGGGCCAGGTTGACCTTTTTTACAGCCAAAGAAGCCCTCATTAAGATAGCTGATCTCTTAGTAAATGCTAACATTTGTCAGAAAGAGATTTAACGCACTGTAAGCATCTATGAAACAGTAGAGGAAAAGTCTGGCATCATTTCCTGTATTAGTGCACTTTAAATGTCAAATCCCATGTGCACAGCGTGAAGAATTGAGTCGTGGAACTTCAATTTTAGTATAGTTGCTGTGATTAGTAATAATCCTTTAGACAAGGGGTCAGCAACCTGTCTTGTGGGTTATACTTGGCCCATGGAGCAGGGGCTTCTGTTGCATTTTGGTGGCAGGAAGTTTTGCTCATATGGTGGCCAGGCAGCAGGAGAAGCAGGGGCAGCTGGGTTGGAAGGGCAGCTGGCCTCAGACTAAGCTGGGTAAATTTGGCTTATCCTTCCTGAAGCATTGCCAACTCCTGCTTGAGAGAGTTAGTTATTAATATGTAAGGTATAGTCTTACAGAAACAGTTGAAACTAGGCATGCATTTATCCAGCTAGCTACCAAGGCAATTTTTGTCCCTTTATATTGATACATCTTTATGTCATCATCAAGAGATCTGCTCAGGGATAGAAAGCATGGCTTTGACCAAAGGTATACATTGGAAAGAGAAAAATTCCAAAGCTATTGTGAGGAAAATGATGTTATATCTTAAAAATAGGTTTATTTATGATGTCCAAATTATCTTGAAGTTCACCAAATTTTTAAAAAATACTGAAATTTTGAATTTTGCTTATGAAATGGGATTGTCTGGACAACTACTTTTAATTCCAATGGGTAAAAGTCCTCAAACATTTTATTTTGGTACCCTAATATTTGCTCCAAACATTTTTATTTAAAAATGTTCCACAACAAACAAGCTAAATACTTGAAAATATTCAAGTGCAAAATGACAATGTTCTCTTTTTTAATAATATGTGAAAGCCTCCACTTTCCCCATACATTCATATGAAAATGCCCTTCTTTCAGCCGGGGCAAATTGAGAGATCAACAATATCAGATGCTACAAATTAAACCTAGAGTTCGGGTTGGTTACAAATCCATGTGAAGGGAGTATAGGAGCTGCTCCAACCTGGTGACTGAGTGCTCAGGGTCATGTGGCAGTAAACATGAAAGTACTACCCCTGTATAGTTGTCAGGAATTGAGCGGAGCCATGGCTTCGCTCTCTTCCTATGCTGATCAGCTCAGAATGATCTCCAGTGGACAAAAATGAAGGAGCAAAAGCAACAGCATTAACTATTACTTCTTTGGGGTCAGAGGGAGTGTCTCTACATGCAATTAATTTGCACAAATAATCCAGGTGTAGCACATGGAGCCCAGTCAGAGCAGCCTGGGCTGGCAGGGAATGAGGAGGAGTCAGTCTAACTGCCCTAGGCTGCTCTAATCAGGCTCCACGTGCTGTGGCATGGTTGGCTGATGCATGAGGGTGCTTCAGTGTGGGGGCTGCCTGCCAGCTAGTCCTGCACTGAACCATGGTGTTCCCCAGCCAGCCACGGCAGCATCTACCCGTGTACTGCTGGACACGAAAAAACTCTGCATCAGGGTAGTACTTGTACATGTATTATCCTGCTGCACAGTTTATTGGTTGCCTGCCCCCTAGTAAGGGCACACATGTGGACACCAAGACATTTACTGTGCAGTTAATTAGTCAACTGTGCAGTAAATGTCTTGTGTAGACACTCCCAGAGAGAACCAGTTTTCTCCCTAAGACTGTCCTGGAGTAGGGTGGCAATGCATCACTTTGTCTTTGGGCCACCATCAAGATTTGAAAGATTCGTAGTAAGGGCAGTCATAAAATATAGTATCCAGTGGCTATCAGTTTCCTCACTTGGCCTTGGAAAGGATGAATTGTTTATAGAGATGGCAGTTATTTGGCACCTGTAATTACCTCTACCTTTGAAGAACACTTGGCACATCTGACAATCTCCAAATCTAGCTTTCCATGAATTAATTTACTGATCAGTGAGTTGAAGCAGGGCAATGAAAATTTGCTGATGTTTTGAATGTTGTGCTGTAACAGCAGTCTGGAATTGTCAGAGGACTGCACAATCAGAAACCCTTAATACAATATAAAAATTCCCCTAAAGAAATAATTTAAAAAATAACCACTGACAACAACCTCTCTTGAATTCCTCAAAAAATAGAGAGCAAGAAAAAAAGAGAGCAAGAAAAAAAAGAAAGCATTAAGATTTCTGCTTACCTTACAAGGGAGGAAGGTCAGGATGGGAAAAACAGAAATAGCTTTAAAATAGAGAGTCACTTATAACATCAACCAACCAGACAGTGCTGCACTATCATACTGTTTTATACAACCTTACATTATTAAAAAATAAAAGTTGTCAAACAGTGAACACCAGCTAAGATACCTGATCTAAGATAACAGCACAGTTGAGAAGGTTCTGTAGTCAATGCCTGCTTACTATGCAACAATAATTAACAATTTATTCAGTGTTACTCTGACTTAGTTACATCATAAGCATTATATGATCATAAAGAGGATGATTTTCAAATGCACCAATTTTCAGTGGGAGATTGGCACCTAGCTAGCCTTTGTGCCTTTCAAAATCTCACAGAGACTTTACAATAAGGCACAGACAACAGGTGCTGTGGAAATACAGTGTGTTGTGACCACCAATAGATGGCCTGGGCCCAGGAATCTGATCTTTTCCAGTCTTCTTCAATGTAAACCTGAGCCACAGTTCACTGATGTCAGTGCTAAAGCACCTGACTTCACCAGGCTTTGGATAAGGCATTCAGTACCTAATGATCTGGCTACTATAATCTGCTATACTTTAGGATTTGCAAAATGCTTCTAGATAGGCCAGTCTCATGAGAAAGAATGAGTTGGGAGAAGATATAATCATGCATCAGCAGCATTAACAAAGGAAAAAAGCAGTTGAATGATTTAATTAGACACAGCAGCTTCACTGAAAAATTAACAGGACATGTCACTTGTGGGAGAGAGGAAGACAGACATTTACCTCATCAAGATTGTTGTAGAAATCTATGTTTGCTGCACACAGGTATCTCCCAAGCAGTGTGGCATGGGTAGTAAAGATTGTGGCAACAGGAAGTTTCCGAAATCGAGTGAGGATTATACCAACCCCCGCTTGCCATTCATGAAAGTGAGCAATTATGTTAGGCTTGTCATCAATTTGACTGGAGATCTGAAAACAATTAAAAAGAATATGTAAAGACACAACATCCTGATTATCAATCCCAAAAGTTCCCCCACAGATGCCGGCTTTCTACTGTATGCAAGGAGATGGCAGCCTTCTAACTGACCCCAGCCCTGCTTTTAGTCTGCTCAAGTGAGGATATAAGTGGGGCTGGATAATTGTGTAGAGAAGAGCAGGCTGTACTGGATCCCCATTTGTCTGCAACCCCCACATCCTGAGGAGCTCTGAGAAGCATAATCATCTAACTCTTCTTTCTGTTTTGCTGGTAAGACTAATTTGTTTAGATAACCAGGCATGGCTCTGCATTTTGAGGCAAGGTAGAGGCTACCAAGTTCAAGAACTACTAAAGGCTAAAAGACAAGGGTAGTTTGAGTGTGATCAACTCTTTTCTTTGTGAACACCTGGCTATGCACAAGAAAAGATTGAGAAATTGCACCTGCAAGAGGTTCCAGTAAGAACTCAGAGAACTGAGAAAAAACAGGGGGTGAAAATGACCTCAAAGGAATAGTACATTTTGCAAGTAGCCTTACATGGAAACAATGTGTTTGACATTACTGATGGAGCAAGTTAGGAGACAGCAACAGCTGCAAATTTGGATCCGGTTCAGGAATACACTCTTCTAGTTGCTGTGGAGAGCTTACAATCAAGGGGTTTGGCTCATTACACAATATGGGTTAGTAGTGACTTTCCAAAAATTGGCTCAAATCTGTATTAGTTCTGCAGCTTTAGTTTGAAGCTATTGTTATTCCAAACCTTAAAACAGTACCTCTTTTAAGAACCAGGCTGTTAATGATCCGAAGATCACAGCATCACTGGCTTCTCTGTCCTGGAAAGGGATTCCTATGTTGCTTGCATCCCAGAATTCTCCTTTCCATCTGTCCAGATTCCAAGCTGCGGATGCTATATCAAACAGCACAACATATGGGCTGCCTTCTATCAGCCATCTTCCAAAAAAGACCTATTCAGGGGAGGCAGTATTATCAGACAAAGTTATAAGGTGAATGTGACAGCCAACTTCCAATCAGTTTCCAGCCAGAAAAATTTGCACGTGACCAAATTTCATGAGCAAAGCACAAGTATTAGGGCAAGATGTGGGTAGAATCTATGGTTAGAAATAGATGTTGATGAATGAAGTGGATCAGCTGTACCATGATGTGTTGCAGCACAGCTAACCCACTTCATTGGGCAAAACACACATTGCCCCTTGTTCCCTCCTTGATGGTGTTGGGTAATGGGCAATGTGACCTCCCTGCTTTCTCCATCCAGTCAGACCTGCTTCTGAGACTGCAGGGTTGCAAGTCTGCCCGAGTGAATAAAGGAGGAATTTTCTCTGCTTGGTCAAACTCACTCCTGCAATCACAGAAATGGGACTAGCTGAGAGGGGAGCACCAGGTGTGAAAAGCACCAGGAGTTAGAGCATGGCCCCTAAATGTCTGTAGGCAACCAGAGTCTCCCCACATCTCAGGATGCTTTGGACCTCCCCCACAAACCCCCACTCACAGGATGGGCAGGCTAGCCTTGGCCTAAGCTGTCTGCTCCAGCCAAGCAGGGAGGCATGTTCTAATACCCACAGCTTCTGGCCTGAGCCACTGCAGGCATGTGGCTACATTTCTGGAATCAAAAGTGAATGTCTGTTCACTTGCTTATCAATTCAATCTATGCAGCTTAGATTAACCTGCAAAGGTTGAATTGATTCAGCCTTGGGCTTTTTGACTGTCTGTCATTGTCAGGCATCAGTCTAGGAGACCATGGGGGCTGCACCTTTCATGGGTTACAGGGTACCATCACAGCTTCTTGACTGGCTGAAGAGTCCGGTGCACAACAGTCAGACTATCCAGCAATTTGCACATACAAACTCAGTTGAGCTTGAACTGGCATGCCGAATACTGTTTTGTCTTGCTTGCCTATGATGCCTCTTCTCTAGCTCATCTATCTTCATCTTGAAGTGATGTTGCTTCATGACAGCTTTCCACATATAGTGGTCCAAAGTTCCTGGTGCTGGCCATCAATACAGCTCACAAATGTTTTTCTTGCAGATATCAACCAGACAGAGTCTGGGCCATCTGAAGTGACAACTGCCAGTGGCCAGCTCACAAGGAGATACTCTACGGTGAATTGTATAAGTGATGGCCAAATCCCCATGTCCTAACTGCCAAAAATCAAAGTCTTTGATTTCGGATGCCGATGGCAAAAGATGGCAAAAGATCAGATGGCAATAGGTCAGAGGCTTACACAACAAACTCTGTAATTGTAATCTCACACTATTATTTTTTAGTTTGTAACAGTGCTACATATTCACACCCCTGTCTGTGCCTCAATTCAAATCACTTGAGCTTTTCATATGAGAGAGAAACTAACCTTGGATTGTATACAACTCAGCGCTATGACATCAAAAAAGATATCGTACCCATAGTAACGAGATACCAAATTGGCTGAGTTTAACGGAATTGTAAAATTAAATAATATGCTACGCTTGCCCTCTTGTGACCAAACAGGACCAGTACCACCCAAGCAAAAATATAGCCCCCCTTTTATGAAACTTGAGAAAACAAAGAGAGCACAAGTGCCAACCTGTTAATTATTCATGCCAGGCTTATTATTATTGGCTATTTTGTTTCCTATAACTTTGAAAGAACTTCCGCCCAAAAGCAGAGAACTGCGTATACACTCAAGAAGGGAGATCTCGGAGCATTCCCAAGAGACACAGTTTGTAACCTGATCAGTTACAAATATTATCTCTCCACCTACATATCTTTCTGGCGTACCCCCATTTTGCCGGCTCGTGTCGTCTTATCTTTTTCGCTCGTCTTATCTTATCTTTCGTACGTCCCTCTCGTCAAGAGCTCTCGGTAATCTGCAGACCGTAGTAATTTGTATAAACTGTTTGAAACCTGTACTCAGCAAGTCTGCAATCCACTGTAATCGCTGGGTGACAGAACATCTGCATGCTGTAACTAAGAAATCAACTGCTTGTGCCTACGCTGCAAGCCATCAGTAGCGTAAGTAAAATAAACTTTCTGTGTAACCAATGTGCTTTAAACCATCTGACTCCTGCTCGCCATTAACACCCACCTGTCTGGTCATAAATCCCCCCTCGCGCCAAGCCGGTCGTACTGACCCAGGCTCGCAGGTCAAGGGTGCACTGGCATCTGGGTGCGACACTAACCAACAGAGGTGTCTCTGTCTCAGGAGCACAAACATACTGGGTATCTTAGCCTATTCCAGAACAGTAAAGTTACAGATTTTGTCACGCCATGTTATGCCTAGGATACTGTGGAGACATCCATCAAAGAGAGAAGTGGTTCAATTTTCTTTCTTCCTTAGCATAAGGAGTCCATGTTTCACTGCCACACAATAGAGAGCTAAGTACACAACTGCTATAGATGGACATCATTGTTGACACAGCGAGCCCTCTGTTTTTCCAAACTCTCTTTCGAAGCTTAGCGATTGCTTGCCTTTCTTATACGAGTGTTAATTTCAGCTTCCAAGACAAAATTTTGCGAGATGGTGGAGTCCAAGTAAGTGAATTTTTCAATCACTTCCAGGCTTTTATCA